TGAGATTTAGATTCAAAGAGACAGAAAATTGATAACGATATCCGGGACTGGAACTAAGATCCAGAACAAATAAACTCAATAGAGCTCTCCATTTTAAACACACAAAATATACGTTATCCACAAAATCTAACAATATATCTAAAGATATACAAAGACTCAAAACAAGGGGATGGAAGAAAACTCACCAACCAAATGGAGAGCAAAAATAAATAAATAAAAAGCAGGAGTTGCAATTTTCACACTCAATAAAATAGATTTCAAAGCTACAAGGATGCAAGGGTAAAAGGATTAATGCAACAATAAGAGATCTTAACACCCAGATACATAAGACACATAATGAGATTTAGATTCAACGAGACAACAAATTGATAACGATATCCAGGACTTGAACTCAGAGCCAGAACAAATAAACACAATAGAGGTCTCCATTTTAAACACATAAAATATGCATTAACCACTTTAAATACTCAAAATATTGATCGGCCATTATTGAAACCCATTTTAGGAATGAAGTAATATTCCTTTTTCCCTCTTTTTCTTTTTTTCCCCTTCTTTTTCTCTTTTTCCCTCAAAAAAAAAAAAAAGAAAGAAAGAAAAACGATGATGACACATTTTGGACCAGCAAGACAATCCCTTGATAATAGAGTGGAAATCAGAAGCTGCGGGGAGATTTGTTGTTTTTGGGCATAGGGTGGCTGCGGGTTGGCCTGATGTCAACGGCAGGACTCTAAAGGTGTAGGCGGATCCAGGGAGCCATCTGCGCGCTGCATAGCCAGGTGGGTACTCAGTGTAAGAGGAAGTTCTGCTCAAGTGCCGGTTTTTCCGTTTAGATATTTTTGGAATTTTTTGGTTACGATCATAGTGGTGTGATGAATTGGGATTATGCTGGGAAGGAGAGGGACAACTGCAGAGTCTTGCTGTGCTTAGAGTAGAAAACCCTGATAAGGGATGAAGCCTGTGGGTGGCTCCTAAGTCCCTCCCAAGGGTCCCTGCCTCCTAGTTTTTATGCCCAACAGTTATTGCCTCTCCTCGAGTGTGGGCTGGATTCAGTGACTAGCTGTAATGGAACAGAAGGAGTTAATTAAGTTTACAAGTCATGGACAGACTTTATGTTGTCTTCATTTCCTTATCATTGGGAGTATTCCGAGCTCAGAATTTTCCCAATGCAAAAAAAGGCTCTGAAGAGCCGGACCTGGGAACCTGGCCAGTTCCCTGATCCAATTTTTGGTAAACACCTCAAGGATGTTAGTTACATGATGAAGACGTGGACAGTGTCCTGACTTGACCCTTCTTTGTTTTAAAAAGTATAAAAGATTGTTTAGCAGAAGCCGAACTGAGCTTCGATGGTGATTTGGTTTGGACTTGCGAAAACCCGTGCTGCTTTACTGCCGGTGTTGAAGTTTGTGAGCGTCTCTAGGTATCCTTGTAAATAAACTCTTTTTCTTTCTTTGTAAATAAACTCTTTTTCTCTATATACCTCGGCTGGTGTTTTTCTTCCCACGAATCTGCCTGAAAAGATTAGAAAATCCAAGCTTGGTACTGAGCAGTGCTCACACACTAGCTTCTGATGATGAGAATATGGGGATCTCTGTGTTCTGATTGAAGGTTGAAACAACTGTAGCTTTTTAAAAAACTGCCTCTCTCTGGCCCTGTTGCTTGATGTTTTAAAATTAAAAACACTATTATTTATTTTTGCATAATAAAGTGTTAAACAATTCATTGCTTGATATAAATGGTAGTTAACTGGTCCATCGAGAGGACTAGAATAGACCTTTCTCTGAATAAGAAAAATAGACAATAAACACACAAAACGGCTGGGCGTGGTGGCTCATGCCTGTAATGCTACCACTTTGGAAGGCCAAGGCAGGTGGATTGCTTGAAGCCAAGAGTTCAAGACCACATGGCCAACGTGGTGAAACCCCATCTCTACTAAAATTACAAAAAATTAGGCAGGCATGTGGTGCATGCCTGTAATCTCAGTTACTAGGAAGGTGGAGGCACAAGAATTGCTTGAACCTGGGAGGTAGAGGTTACTGTGAGCTGAGATCACACCACTATACTCCTAGGTGACAGAGTGAGACTCTGCCTCAAAAACCAACCAACCAACCAACAAACAAACAAAAAACAAAGAAAAAGACAACCAAACACAAAGCAAACAAACGAACAACCAAAATGATTCACATCAGTAATCCTCAGCAAAGTGCAAATCAAAACCGCATGACTACCACCCGTTAGGATGACTGTTATAAACCAAGAAACAGGCTGGGCACAGTAGCCCACACTTGTAATCCTAGCACTTTGGGAGGCCAAGGCAAGTGGATCACCTGAGGTCAGGAGTTTGAGACCAGCCTGGCCAACATGGCAAAACCCCATCTCTACTGCCTGTAGTCCCAACTACTCGGGAGGCTGAGGCAGGACAATTGCTTGAACTCAGGAGGCTGAGGTTGCAGTGAGCTGAGATCTCAACACTGCGCTGCAGCCTGAGTGACAGAGTGAGACTCCATCTCAACAAACAAGCAAACAAACAGAAAATAACAAGTGTTGGTGAACACGTAGAGAAACAGGAAGGTTTGTACATAGTGGATGGCAGTGTGCAATGGGGCAGAAATAAGGAAAACAGTATGGTGCTTCCTCATAAAATTGAAAATACCATTACCAGATGATCCTGCAGTTCCACCTGTGGGTACGTACTCAAAAGAATCAAAGAGGGGACTCAAGTAGATAGTTCCACTCCATATTTATAGCAGTGTTACTAATAATAGGCAAAAATATGGAAGTGTCCATATTAACTAACCTCAGTGTCCATTGTTAGATAAGTGGATAGACACAATGTGGTCCATCCATACAATGGAATATTATTCATCCTGCAAAAGAAAGGCAATTCTGACACATGTTACCATATGAGTGAATCTAGAGATGCTATGCTAAGAGAAATCAGTCAATCATAAGAGGAAAACACAGTATGATTCCACTATATCAAGTATCTCGAGAAGTTCAATTCATAGTTACAGTAGACTGGTGGTTGCCAGGGACTGGTGAGACGGAGGAATGGGGAGTTTCATAATAGGTCCTGAGTTTCTGTTCTGAAAGACAAAAACGTTGAGCAGGTGCCTGACGGTGGTGGTTGCACAACACCGAATGTTCTCGGTGCAGCAAAGTGTTCACTGAAAAGTGGTTAAAATGGTATTGGTTACCGTTTTGAAGTAGTTCAGTGGTAAAATGTTACTTATCATTTTGTATAAAACTATTTATATTTATAATTTATTTTTTTGAGATGGAGTTTCGCTCTTGTTGCCCAGGATGGAGAGCAATGGCGAGATCTCGACTCACAGCAACCTCCGCCTCCTGGGTTCAGGCAATTCTGCTGCCTCAGTCTCCTGAGTAGCTGGGATTACAGGCACGCACCACCGTGCCCAGCTAATTTTTTGTATTTTTAGTAGAGACGGGGTTTCACCATGTTGACCAGGATGGTCTCGATCTCTTGACCTCGTGATCCACCCGCCTCAGCCTCCCAAAGTGCTGGGATTACAGGCATGAGCCACCGTGCCCGGCCCAAAAAGATGGATTCTTGAAAAAAAAAATAATAATAAAGAAATGAAAGAAGTGAACAATGAACAGAAACTTTCTTCTGATTAGAGGAAGAGCCTCTAAAAGTTCCTGTGGACATTCACTTTTTCTTCTTTATCTTGCATTAAAGAGGAAATCCTTAGAGATTGGGGAACATGGACCAATTTGGCTAATGAAGAGCTCTGTGCCTTGAGCCCCCAAGGCCGTACAATAGTAAATACTCAGCCTGTGCCTCCAGCCCTGCAGTGTGAGCTTCCAGTCCAGTGGGCTCCACACCTGTTGTCTGCATCAAGAGGCTCATGTCTGACCCTGTCTTCCTGCCAGTCCTAAGGACGGAGCCTGAGCCCCCATCGTGCCCCACACGTGGAGGATATCGGACCTGCTCTCCATGGTCATGGCCCAGCAGACTGGAAGCACAGCTCAGTGAGTGCTGAGGGATGGTCGGGAGCCTTGTTTCCTCATCCTCAGCACAAACAGGACAGTGCGGTGGCAGATGGGAGTACACCAGTGTGTGAAATGTCAGCTCTGAGGACTGTGGAGTTTATGTTCTTGGTTGTGGTGGAGACTCAGAAATCTTATTCCAAGTTATACTTTCCTCCCCGATTCAATGTTCCATGGAGATCTCACCGGTGACAGCCTAAAGCAGGTTCCTTTTAGCTGTTCCGTAAGCACTCCCAGAGGGTTGTGAATGCGGTGATGAGGCTGAGGAGGAAGATGGCAGTCCCTGTGACCTCATGACCCTTACTGAGGGATTCCTAAATGCCAGGCTTTGAGCTCTGTCTTCGATGCAGCATGTTCATTTCATCTGCATCATCTTCCACAGGTTATAAATGCACACATTATTATTTTACAGAAGAAGAAAGATACAAAACATTTTTAATTAAAATAATCATTTATTCATTGAGTATTTTGTCTTTATATTTACAGACTATAATAGATCTTGTCCTTTCTGTTATTTACTTAATAATAGTGTCTTGATGTAGAATCATAATTGCTAAGTTTCTTCACAGTAAAATATTTTAACCTTATAAAATGCATTCTACTTTGCTATTTTTGGTAAATATATGGAGATTTAAAGAATGCCAAAGAGAAACAAACCGTCTTTTTTTTTGAGACGGAGTTTTGCTCTTGTTGCCCAGGCTGGAGTGCAATGGCACAATCTTGGCTCACTGCAACCTCCGCCTCCCAGAAAATGACATCTTGACTGATCCAAGGCATTTTTATATAACTTGTACCAGCTCAAGTGGTAGGAAGGGGTGAAGCCACATTCACACCAGGCAGTCTAACAACTTGCCCTGTGTCCAAGCGAGATTAAACAGATCACAGATGCTCCCTGGGTGACCTATATGTGATGGATGCATAAAGTAGAGACACAGTAAGTTTTATATACTGTTATTAATATTTTAAAACTAGTCATTTCCATACCATTCAACTTAAGTGTCCTGTTACCTGAAGATATGGCTTTCCTACACCTCTGACAGGACGTATTATTTTTGTCCTAATAGAAGCATGCACTGAGTTTTGAAAGGAATGACTGAGTTTCTTTCATTTCTAATTCTTCAGGCCTTTTTTTTTTTCTTAAGACCAAGTTTCAATCTGTCACCCAGGCTGGAGTGTAGTGATGCGATCTCAGCTCACTGCAACCTCCTCCTCCTGGATTCTAGCAATTATCCATGCCTCAGCCTCCCAAGTAGCTGGGATTACAGGTGCCTGCCATCACACCCAACTAATTTTTTGTATTTTTTAGTAGAGACAGGGTTTTGCCATGTTGGCCAGGCTGGTCTTGAACTCCTGACCTGAGGTGATCTGCCTGCCTTGGCCTCCCAAAGTGATGGGATTACAGGTGTGAGCCACCACGGCTGGCCCTACTTTTGACTTTTTTTCTGAACGAAGTAGGCTGTATTTTACTGTGATGATATATTTGTTATCTCTACTATTTTTGCTCTTCTTCTCACATTGTTTAGTCAAGTGTCTCTAAAGTAGATGTGCAGAGAAACAGGTGACCAGCACAAAAATCAATCATGAAAGAGTTCTTAGAAAATGAAATTTGTCACAGCTGAGAAAGACTGCTGAGTGCGTATGGGCCTCACATGTGAAGACTTGTGAATTGCTTTTATTCAAAGAACAGACACAGTGCTGGGTGCTGGTTTACTTGTTTCCTATTTTCTAATCCTCTTTTCTTTTTAAAAGGTGTCCTAGCTACACGGAACTACAAAATCTAACAGGTGTCTCAGAATTCCTGCTTATGGGGCTCCCAGACAATCCAGAACTGCAGCCTGGCCTCAGTGGGCTGTTCCTGTCCATGTACCTGGTCACCATGCTGGGGAACCTGCTCATCATCCTGGCCGTCAGCTCTGACTCCCACCTCCACACCCCCATGTACTACTTCCTCTCCAACCTGTCCTTGGCTGACATTGGTTTGACCTCCACCACCGTCCCCAGGACAATTGTGAACATTCAAACTCACAGCAGAGTCATCGCCTATGCAAGCTGCCTGACACAGATGTCTTTTTCAATCTTTTTTGTGTGTATGGAAGACATGCTCCTTGCTGTGATGGCCTATGACCGGTTTGTGGCCATCTGTCACCCTCTGCACTATCCAGTCATCATGAGCCCACGACTCTGTGGCTTCTTAGTGTTGGTGTCTGCTTTTCTTAGCCTTTTAATATCCCAGGTGCACAATTTGATTGTCTTACAATTTTCTTGCTTCAAAGATATAAAGATTTCTAATTTCTTCTGTGACCCTTCTCAACTCCTCACACTTGCTTGTTCCGACACGTTTGTCAATAACAACATAGTCATGAATTTCTTTGCTGCTGTATTTGGTTTTCTTCCCATCTCAGGGATCTTTTTGTCTTACTATAAAATTGTTTCCTCCATTCTGAGAGTTCCATCATCAAGTGGGAAGTATAAAGCCTTCTCTACCTGTAGCTCTCACCTGGCAGTTGTTTGCTTATTTTATGGAACAGTCCTTGGAGTGTACCTTGGGTCATCAGTGTCATCCCCCAGGAAGAGTGTGGTGACCTCAGTGATGTACACAGTGGTCACTCCCATGCTGAACCCCTTTATCTACAGCCTGAGAAACTCAGACATCAAAAGTGCCCTGCAGAGGTTGCATAGCAGAATAGTCAAATATCTTTGTCTGATCCATCCTTTTTGTTATGTGGGTTAGAAAAGGCAGCAAAATCAAATATCACAGACTGCAAATCCTGCTTCCTTGGCCACGTTATTTTTGTTGCTTCAAGGTTTTCATTCTTGTCCATGTTTCATATGTGAATATTGCTTCCTTCGTTATGTCTTGAATTAGAATTTGTAGGTATTCCAGTATCCTTTGTCCATCATAAACATCATGACTGAATCCAATATACCTAGATAGCCTCCTTTTAGCTTCTGAGTGATGATCATGGTATTCAGGTGAATCTCAACTCTCTTTTTTTTTTTTTGAGACAGAGTCTCACACTCTTGCCTGGGCTGGAGTGCAGTGGCACGATCTTGGCTCACTGTAACCTCCGCCTTGCGGGTTCAAGAGAGTCTCCTGCCTCGGCCTCCTGAGTAGCTGGGATTACAGGCATCTGCCACTATGCCCAGCGTATTTTTTGTGTTTTTAGTAGATGGGGCTTTAGTAGAGATGGGGTTTCTCCATTTTGGCCAGGCTGGTCTCAAACTCCTTTCCTCGTGATTCACCCGCCTCGGTCTCCCAAAGTGCTGGGATTATAGGCGTGAGCCACTGCACCCCAGCCCCAACTCTCCTTTTATGTACAGGAAATCATCACTTAACATGTAACATGATTAATGGATTCTTGGAAACTGTGACATTAAGGGAAGGATATATGGCAGGTCCTTGAATAATGTTTCATTTTAATGTTGATGAGCAAAAAACTTGCTTTCATTTATTATACATCATTTTATTTAAAGTTACAGTTTACAACAACCTATTGAGAATGTTTAGTAGGGACCTGCTCTACTTCAAATTTACATCCCTTCCCACAGTTCACGGGTAATTTTGGTACAAATTGCATTGATGAAATCTATTTAGGTAGACTATGTGTGAGAATTCATATAATTGGTTCTCAAGCTTGGTTTTGTCTGAAATCTCCTGGAAAACTTACACATGCTGACGAGTGGCTCTCATAGCCAGATATTTGGATGTACTTGGACATGTCAAGAAATGAGGACATTTAAAAACATCAGTGATGGTTCAGATGATAAAGTTGTTCAACCTCAAATGAGTAAGTTACAAAAGAGTTTTTGTAGTACCAGGCAACATGATTTCTTCAAATATCTACTTCAAATAAACTATTCGTCAATGCCATATAATTTGTTGTTAAACAGTTATTTTTTACCACTTAGAATTTACAGCCAAAGGAATATAAATCGTTCTATCATAAAGACACATGCCTGTGTATGTTCATTGCAATGCTATTCATAACAGCAAAGACATGGAATCAACCCCAGCACCGTGACCAGGTGCATGGACAGGAACAGCCCAGTGAGGATGGGCTGCAGTCCTGGATCATCCGTGAGTCCCATAAAGAGGAATTCTGAAACAACTGTTAGATTCTGTGGCTCTGTGTAGCTTGGACACCTTTTGAGAAAAAAAGGGGGTTTGGAAGAAAGGAAACAAATAAACCAGCACCCAGCACCGTGCCTACATTTTGGATACAAACAATTTGTATCCAAACCATTTCCACAAGCAAGTAAAATGATCACATTCGAGAACCACACACCCTCAGCAATATGTCTCAGTTGAGACTAATCCAATTTTCTTAGAACTCTTTGAGTTTTATGTTATTCACCTCTTGTTGTCCATACTTTACGGATATTCAACTGAAGAACATTAGAAGACCAAGACACTAGAGATTATTCATAATGTTATTTGTCCATTTTCGCACCACTATGAAGAACTACATGAGACTGGGTAATTTGTGAAGAAAAGAAGTTTCATTGTCTCACAGTTCTGCATGGCTAGGAAGGCCTCAGGAAACTTACAGTCATGGCAAAATGTGAAGGGGAAACATGTCGCACATGGTGGCAGGAGAGAGAGAGAGAGAAAAGGGGAAGCGCCATGCTTTTAAACCATCAGATCTCATGAGAACTCACTCGCTATCACAAGAATAGCAAGGGAGAAGTCTGCCTCCATGACCTAGTCACCTCCCACCAGGCCCCTACTCACTAACACATGTGGATTACAATTCGAGATGAGATTTGGGTAGGGACAAAGAGCCAAACCATATCACGTGATCTCTAATATCTATATATATATCTATATATATAAAATATAAAATTATAATATATAGGGTAATATATAGGCTATAGAGTAAAATATGACCTAATGTTTTAGGATGAAATGTAGAATGAAAAAAATCCTTCTCCTTTTAAGAAAAAATAATCATCCTGCTTTAGGGCAATTAAAGAGCAGTCAAATATACTTTATTTTAGTCTAATACAGTGCTATAGCTTCCCTCAATTTACATTATTTATATATACTCTATAAGCACTAGGACTACTTGATCTGGATACTCAGAAGTTGATCGCTAATAATCAGACAGCATTTTAGTATCCCATTTATGTGGTAGAGTTTTCATCATTCTTATCTTTTGTGACTTCTTTGCTTTATCAAAGTAAGTGCTCACTCAAATATGTGGGCTTTATTTAAATGTATTTAATATGTAACTCCAGCCAGGTGGGTGGCTCACTCCTGTAATCCCAGCTCTTTGGGAGGATGAGGTGGGCAGATCACTTGAGGTTAGGAGTTTGAGACCAGCCCGGCCAACATAGTTAAACTCTGTTTCTACTAAAACCACAAAAAATTAGCCAGTTATGATAGCAAGTGACTGTAGTCCCAGCTACTCAAGAGTTTGAAGCAGGAGAATTGCTTGAACTTGGGAGGCGGAGGTTGTAGTGAGCCAAGATCACACCACTGTACTTCAGTCTGGGCAAAAAAATTAAATATATATTATATATTTTCAATTAATTTTTAATTAATTACAATTAATTTTTATCAATTTTTAATTTATATATTATATATATATATATTTTAAAAAATATATACACTCCTATCCTTGCCCTAGGTGGACTTTGAGTTTTGATCAGCAAGGTTTAGGGAAACACACGTAATCACAGGCCATCGCTGAGCACACATGTTGATGGTGCACAATGCACCTGTTGATGGAACGACGATGTGATTTTAAGAACATCTTTGGCCAGGCCCAGTGACTCAGCCTGTAATCCCAGCACTTTGGGAGGCTGAGGTGGGCAGATCACGTCAAGAGATCGAGACCATTCTGGTCAACATAGTGAAACCCTGTCTCTACTAAAAATACAAAAAAATTTAGTCCCAGCTACTCGGGAAGCTGAGGCAGGAGAATTGCTTGAACCTGGGTGGGAGGCAAAGTTACAGTGAGCTGAGATTGTGACACTGCACTTCAGCCTGGCAACAGAGTGAGACTCTGTGTTAAAAAACAAAACAAAACAAAAAAACACCTTTACCTGGAATGATGTCAAACCCTAAAATGCGTCTCAGTCCAACCGATAAAGTTTATCTGCCTCTTCCTTTCCATCTCTGTTTCTCGTTATTACACGTATGAACTTTGCTCTCATGGTTTTTGAATAATTGAATGTTGTGGATGATATTAGATACAGTTATAGGGCCCATGTGATATGACACAGACGTACACAGAGCTATTTGATCTTGTCTCTAGTTCTAGGAGACCTTCCTGAAAGGGATGAAAAAGACAGGAAAGGAGAAGCTAAGCTAAATCTAAAGTTATCACAGCCAATTTTTGGGAACCCAGGAAGGTTTAATATTTAACAATATCCAGTATATATATATTTTTTAATTTTATTTTTTTTAAGATGGGGTTTCACCATGATGGCCAGGCTGGTCTTGAACTCCTGACCTCAGGTGATCCACCCACCTTGGCCTCCTAAAGTGCTAGGATTACAGGTGTGAGCCACCACGCCCGGCCAACAATATCCAATATTTAACAAATGTTTTTACGTTTGATGCTTCCTCTGTGCCAAGGACAATATCGGTTCTAGGGAATCAGAAATGAAAGAGACACACTCCTTCCTGTGATTGTACTCAGGACTTACATAAGGACAAAAGTAAAAAGTCCTGTAAGGGGCCAGGGGCAGTGGCTCACACCTGTAATCCTAGCACTTTGGGAGGCTGAGGCGAGTGGATCACCTGAGGTCAGGAGTTAGAGACCAGTCTGTCCAACACGGCGAAACTAAAAATACAAAAATTAGCTTGGTGTCATGGTGCTCACCTGTAATCCCAGCTACTTGGGAGGCTGAGGCATGAGAATCGCTTGAACCCAGCAAGCAGAGGTTGCATTGAGCGGAGATTGCACCACCGTACTCTAGCCTAGGTGACAGAGGGAGACTATGTCTCAAAAACAAGTTCTGTGAATAATGCAAAGGAATTGTAACATCATATCATGAGACATTTCAGCTAAATTGTATGAAGATCAACCTTAAAATATTAATATTAGCTTGGTGCAATATTTATTGTGATTTTTGCCATTACTCTCCGTATAATATTGAAATTATAATATGACTTTGCCTTTACTTCATGTATCTGTCACTCAGGTAGCACCCAGGATTTGTTTAACCATTACTCAGTGCCATTAGATGAACTCGAAATCAACTCAGAAGACGGTGCTGACTCCAGAGACAGTGACATTTTGCCTGTGTTGCACAGATAAGTGGAAAGAGTGACACTCACAACAAAAGGGTCTGGACCCAGGAAATAACTTCTTCATTGTTTTTGAGATTCCAGAAGGATTTAAGTGGAGGTCAGAGGTCTTAACCACAGGTACATCTCAGGTGCATTTTGAAAGTTTCCAACTTTCTGAATAGGACTGGAACCCAAGACCCTGATTTTATGTCTCCTTGAGAAGGTGGAGAGCTGTAAGGAAATCCAGGGACAGGGGCAAGGGAGAGATGCGCGCTGAGAGTTCCTGTGCCACTCTTTCTGGGATCTTTGATATGATCTCAGCTGCCTTTCTACACTTGATACAGTGAACGTGGCACCCACTGGTCTAGCTGTGGTCTACCAGGAACCCTCAAAGGGAGAAGCAAAGTTAGCAGAGGGCATCTACCAGGAGTGACAGGCATTTTTCTTCTTCTTCTTCTTCTTTTTTTTTTTGAGATGGAGTCTCACTCTGTTGCCCAGGCTGGAGTGCAATGGTGTGATCTCAGCTCACTGCAACCTCCTCCTCCTGGGTTCGAGTGATTTACCACGTCTCAGCCTCCCAGGTAGCTGGAAGTACAGGCATGTGCCACCGTGCTCAGCTAATTTTTTGTATTTTTAGTAGAGACAGGATTTCACCATGTTTGCCAGGTTGGTTTCAAACTCCTGAGCTCAGGTGATCCACCCACCTTGGTCTCATATATATTTTTTTGAGATGGAGTCTCCCTCTGTCACCCAGGCTGGAGTGCAGTGGCATAATCGTGGCTCACTGCAGCCTCTGCCTCCCAGTTTCAAGTGATTCTCCTGCCTCAGCCTCCTGAGTAGGTGGGATCACAGGCTTACCACCACACCAGGCTAATTTTTATATTTTTAGTAGAGACAGGGATTCGCCATGTTGACCATGCTGGTCTCAAACTCCTGGCCTCAAATGATCCGCCCACCTCAGCCTCCCAAAGTGCTCCTTCAGATTCTCTCCTCAGACCCTGAGACCCTCCCCTCAGACCCTCCGATTTTCTCCTCAGAACCTCTCCTCATACCTTCAGACCCTCTCCTGAGACCATGCCTCAGAACCACACCCCCTCCTCTGAGACCCTCTCAGACCCTCTCCTCAGTCCCTTAGATCCTCCTCTCAGCCCGAGATCCTCTCATCATACTCTCCGAAGACTCAGACCCTCCCATCTGATTGTCCCCTAGGACCCTTTCTTAAGACCTTCAGACCCTCACCTTAGATTCTCTCCTCAGATTTTCTGATCCTCTCCTCAGACCGTCAGATTCTCTCCCCAGACCCACAGACCCTCCTCTCAGACACTGTCCTTAGACCCTCAGACCCTCCTCTCCCATCCTCTCTTCAGACCCTGAGACACTCCTATCAGATCCTCTCCTGAGACCAACAGAACCACCTCTCGACCCTCTCCTCAGACCCTCTCCTCAGACCCTCCCCTCAGACCCTCCCTTCAGACCCTCTCCTCAGACCCTCTCCTCAGACCCTCCCTTCAGACCCTCTCCTCAGACCCTCTCCTCAGACCCTCTCCTCAGACCCTCCCCTCAGACCCTCCCTTCAGACCCTCTCCTCAGACCCTCTCCTCAGACCCTCCCTTCAGACCCTCTCCTCAGACCCTCTCCTCAGACCCTCTCCTCAGACCCTCCCCTCAGACCCTCCCTTCAGACCCTCTCCTCAGACCCTCCCTTCAGACCCTCCCTTCAGACCCTCTCCTCAGACCCTCTCCTCAGACCCTCCCT